TCGACTTGAAAAGACTCGGTCACTGAAAACCTTATGGAGCACAGTTCTACGTTGACACACACAAGGCTCTAGGACTTGGGGTTAAAAATTCACTCAAAGATTACGGACAGATTTCATTTCTAATATTTTCTTGAGGGTTTCTAGTTCTCAACGCATCAAGGATACTATATCTCATTTTCTCATAATGTCTTTGCTTGGTTTTGGTAGCAGAGTAATACCATCTTCAAAAATGAGTTGGTAACTACCTTCTTCTTTTGTATTTTCTTGAAAACTTTGCCTAGACTTGCTATTACTTATTCCTTTAAAAAAAACCCCACAAAACTCTAATGATGTGTTCTGTACAAAGGTGGGCTGCTAATTCAAAAGCGATACCTTTCTCCAGTGGCTCAAATCCGTCAGTAGCTCATGGGATAAAGGCGGGCAGTGTCCGCTCACTGTGATTCACAGCTTCGGAAACCCAATGGAGGGCTGGCTCTGAGTCAGAACCAATGTGACAGCAGTGAGTTTGAGGCTACTCATTATAATTATTTGGCAGACTCTTCCAGTGACAGCATCTGGGTCTAGGGGTCTTTTTGTCCATCTTTCTGCTGAAGGCACTCTAAATCCCTATGAGAGGAGACTGCCCAGCTTTTCCTCAGTGGTGCAGCTGGTGGATGTGGATGAAATGCACTACACTGTCAGAGCTCCTTAACCACAGATAGGTTCATAATGAATGCCTGTGGTTAAATGTAATAATATGTTAACATGTTCTTTTTCACTCCTGCTATTGGCAATTTGTGTCTTTGCTTTTCTTTGCAGTCTGGCTACAAGTTTATCCATTTTATTGATCTGTAAGAATCAGCTTTTGGCTTTATTCCTTTCCCTTATATTTTTCTCTTTTAAATTACATTGGTTTCTGTATTATATTATTTTCTTTCTTCTGCTTGTTTTGCATTTAGGTTTATTAGGATAGAAATAAAATTATGGATTTGAGACTTTTTTTCATATTATGAGCATTTCATACTGTAAAATATCTCAGTTGGTAATGGCTTAGCTAGATCCCACAGACTTTGGTATTTTGATCTAGTGTGTTCTCATTTTTATTCAGTTCCAAATATTTTCTAATTCTCTTCTAGAAACCTTTTTGACTCATGGATTATTTAGAAGTATACTGCATAACTCCTAAATATTTGAGGATTTTCCCAGAAACCTTTGTTATTGATTTTTATTTTCATTCCACCATTAAGATTTCAAGTCATTGCCCATGAGCTGGAACTGACAGCTGATCCTCAGCAAATGTCAATAGGCTTTAAATCACACAGGAGGAGACTGCTTATTGTTCTCCCTTACAGCACTGGTGGTAAGGAACTGTGCTGCCACCACAAAGGGACATAGTTTAAATCTACCAGCTGCTCCACAGGAAAAGATGATCAGTCTCCTCCCATTCGATTTACGGCCTCTGACTCCACTGGAGGGCCAACTATGGGTCTGTTCCAACACAGCACTGGTGGAATTGAACCACCATAGAGACACTGGTGTTGGGTTATCAGTGCACTTACCTATGGACTACACGATCAAAGCTCCCTATCCGAGGATGGCAGTATGCACTTTGAATGACTGCTATTTTTAAAATTTGCTAAAAAACGTATTACGGCCTAGACTGTGGCATATTTTCAACAATAAGCCTTGTGCACTCAGAGTATATATTATGCAGCTCCTTATTTTGTGGTTCCTTTCAAGGATCAAATCTCTTTCAGGTGCCTTACATATTTTATTTTTAATTAATTTTGTTCAGACTTTATATCATTGCTCTTAGTGAGATGCTTACTCTGTTACAAAGTATCACAACTATTTTACCCTTAGCTAGAACCCACAGACTTCTTGTAATACAAAACATTCTACACTTTTTTTTAGTGTGTGTGTACCGTCAAATCAGATCTGACTGGTACAGGAGGAGACTGTCCCTCCTTCCCTGGCAGAGCATCTGGTGGATTCAAACCATGTGCCTCTGGGATTGCAGTGCAGCTTCTTGCCACTAGGCCACCAGAGCTCCCCCAAAATTCTACACTTTTAAATCAGTATGTGTTGGATTTCTCTTTATTTTAAGGGAGGAAAAAAGTCCTAAAGCATGCATATTCACAAATTCACAATGTACAAACTCAAATGCCAATAATGCTGAGTAGAAGTGATTTCCTTCAACTAGAATTCTTTTCCACTCTAGTTAACCTAAAGGAAATGACATTAGAAACTAATTTTCTCATTGTTATTGAGTCAGGACGCACAGGTGACCTTCCATTGGCTTCCGGGACTGTAAGGCAGATTGCATATCTTTCCCTCTCAAAGCCATGTGTGGATTTGAACCACCAGAGTTTGGTTTAGCAGCACAACATCCTACAGACCATGCCACCAAAGCTTCCTTTAGGAATTAGTTTTACGGGGGTGGGGGCGGGGGTTGGAGGGGGAGCACCAAATTTTACTTTTATCTTAATGAGAATAAAATTACTTACCAAATATTTTCACAGTATTTATAAATGAAAACCCTAACTGCTGTTGAGCCAGAGCCAACTCACAGCAACTTCAGCAGGCTTTCAGAGGCTGTGAAGTGCATGAGTTGAGACTGCCCAGCTCTCTCCCGTGGAGCTGCTGATGGATTCAAGCTGTCAGAAAGGTGTAACTCCCCACACATTTTGTATCAGAAGAATGCCTCTTTGGGTTTTACTAACTATGAAAAGGCATTTAACCAGGAGGATAATAAACTATGGCTAACATTAAGAAAAGATTGGTATGCATAGGAATCAGATCGATTACATCTGCGGAAAAAACTGCTGGAGAAGCTCACTATCAGCTGTGAAAACCAGGCCAGGAGCTGATTGTGGAACAGACCACCAACTACTCATATGTAAGTTCAAGCTGAAGCTGAGGAAAATTAAACCGAATCCACAGGAGCCAAAGTATGACTTTGAGTTCACCCCACCTGAATTTCAGAATCATCTCAGGAACATGTTTGAGGCCTTGAACACTCATGAGCGAAGACCAGATGAATTGTGGGAAGATGTCAAATGTGTCAACCAGGAAGAGTGCAAACGGTCATTACAAAGACAGAAGAGGAAGAAAAGACCAAAATGGATGTCAGAAGAAACTCTGAAGATTGCACTGGAGCTCAGTTGGTAATGGCTTAGCTAGATCCCACAGACTTTGGTATTTTGATCTAGTGTGTTCTCATTTTTATTCAGTTCCAAATATTTTCTAATTCTCTTCTAGAAACCTTTTTGACTCATGGATTATTTAGAAGTATACTGCATAACTCCTAAATATTTGAGGATTTTCCCAGAAACCTTTGTTATTGATTTTTATTTTCATTCCACCATTAAGATTTCAAGTCATTGCCCATGAGCTGGAACTGACAGCTGATCCTCAGCAAATGTCAATAGGCTTTAAATCACACAGGAGGAGACTGTCCATCTCTCCAGAAATAGATGGTATACCAATTGACGTATTTCAGCTAATAGATGCTGCCCTGGATGTGCTCATCAAGTTGTGCCAAGAAATCTGGAGAACAATCACTTGGCCAACTGACTGGAAAAGATCTATATTTGTTCCCATTCCAAAGAAGGGTGACCCAACTGAGTGTGGAAACTACAGAGCAATATCATTGATTTCACATGCAAGCAAGATTCTACTGAAGATTATCCAAAAACGACTGGAACAGCACATCAGCAGAGAACTGCCAGAAGTCCAGGCTGGGTTTAGAAGGGGTCGTGGTACTAGGGATATTGTAGCTGATGTTAGATAGATCTTAGCTGAAAGCAGGGAATACCAAAAGAATGTCTATCTGTGTTTCATTGATTATGCAAAGGCGTTTGACTGTGTGGATCATAACAAACTGTGGCTGTCTCTAAGAAGAATGGGAATCCCAGAACATTTAATCGTGCTAATGCAAAACCTATACTTGGACCAAGAGGCAGTCGTCAGAACAGAGCAGGGTAACACTGCATGGTTCAAAATGGGAAGGGTGTACGCCAGGGATGTGTCCTGTCTCCACACCTTTTCAACCTGTAGGCAGAGCAGATTATCTGAGAGGCTGGGCTCTATGAGGAGAAGTGTGGCGTCAGGATTGGTGGAAGATCTATTAACAATCTGCGTTATACAGATGACACAATTCTGCTTGCTGAAACTGAAGAGGACCTCAAACACTTGCTGCAGAGAGTCAAGGACTGCAGCCTTCAGTATGGACTGAGGCTCAATGTCAAGAAGACAAAGATTCTCACCACTGGGCCAACTGGTAGCGTCAGGATGGATGGTGAAGAGAATGAGATTGTTCACAGCTTCAGTTTGCTCGGCTCCATGGTCAACATTCTTGGCACCAGCAGCCAGGGAATCAAAAAACGTATTGCAATGGGAAAGTCTGCGGTTAGGGACCTCTCTAAAGTACTCAAGAGCAACGGTGTCTCTCTGGAGACTAAGGTGCGCCCGATACAGGCCATGGTCTTTGCAATCACGTGTTAGAATAGAAGGAGAATTGATGTCTTTGAGCTGTGGTGCTGGAGAAGAGTATTGAATATACCATGGACTGCCAAGAAAACAAACAGATTCATCCTGGAGAGGGTTAAACCAGGCTATTCCTTGGAGGCAAGGATTCTGGGGCTTCGTCTGACATACTTTGGACATGTTGTAAAGAGGGACAGGTCCTTAGAGAGGGACATCATGCTTGGAAGGGTGGAGGTACAGCGCAGGAGGGGAAGACCCTCTATGAAGTGGATTGATTTAGTGACTGGGGTAATCGGGATGGGTGTGTCAGAGGCAGTGCGACTGGCATAGGATAGAGCAGGGTTTAAGGCTGTTGTACACAGGGTTGCTATGAGTCGTCAAAGACTTGATGGCACACAACAACAACAACAACATTAAGAAGAATGGGAATGCCAGAACATTTGATTGTGCTTGTGTGAAATCTATCCCTAGGTTGTATCACCAGAGTGCCTTATTTACAAATGAAGGATATAAATGTAAATAAAGATTATTACCTTTACATTTAGGAGGGTCACTACTCCATTTTGTTTCTGAAGAACAAATAAGAGTTCTGTTTCCAATAAGTGAAAATTCATCTCCACTTGTAGGGTTACAACTATAATGAACTACCTCATGGTATGCATAGACGTCCTTTACATTGCTGTATTTTCCATTGTCTATTTTGGGAGGTGGTGGACATTTAGCAACTGCAAATGAGGCGGACAAGAAAAGGAAATAATTAGTATACATATATATACACAGCAAACAGGAAATGAACGGTATAAAACTAAAATTAAGACACCATTAGATCAAATGCCTTCAATAAATTCATTAACCCACAAGTTCCATAAGCTAGTTACAAATGCAGTAATCATTTGGAAGAGGGTTTCTATTTTAAAAAAATCTATTACCCCAAAATTTAGACTGTTAACTTAAAAATTGGCTTTCAGAGTAAAAGTCATTTTCTTATAGTGTGATGTGCCTGTGTTTACCAGCAAGGACATGCTCAGTTTTGTTCTGGTAATCATAAGGACTCTCAGAAGGAGAGATCCTTACGATGAAAAAAAAGAAAGTATGAGCTGTTGAAGAAGGAGAAAATGCAATTCTTGTTGAAAAATATTTCACCATTTAAGTATATCTATTCTCTGAATCAGTGGTTCACACAAATACCAAGAAATGACTATTTTTAAAAATTCTCATTCATGTGACATGAGCGAGTGTACAGTGAAATTTTCCTCAGACTGCAACAGCAGACTGAATGGGGTCGTGAATATGAAAATCTAGCTGTCTTCCTTGAAGCCAAATATTGAAAACATATGCCAATATAGAGAATAACCCCACTTATTCTCAATACTTTTTTTTGTTTTGGAAAATTTTTATTTTTCACTGAAGTATATTACATATATTAACATATACTGAATTTATTATACATGAACATTTTAGAAATATCTCCGTTTTCATTCTAATATGATAAATATCAGCAGGTACAAAGAAAAGCTATGTGGGGTCCTTTTTAGTTTAAAATTTAAAAAGTTTATTAAAGGGATCCCAAGGCCAAGATGTTTAAGAATGTCTAGTCTATATTATAGAAACAGAATTTACTTACCATCACATATTGGTGGGTTTTGGTCCCAATTAAGTGTCGTGTCAATAAGAATACACGTTAAAATGGCGTCTGAACCTACTAAGTTATAGCTAAATGAGAAAAGAAAGGTTATTGTTTTCTTCAGCAGTTAACAAAATGTTCACAGAGTGGTCTTTCTACACTGCAGTAGCTTTAAGAAGAGGTTTCATAAGTCTAAGTACTAACCGAATCGACTATTTTTTTTTTGAAGGGTGAAACCAGTTGCTTTTCCCCTGGATCCCAGTCTTTCTTTTTTATTTTGTGTGAGTGTTCTGTCAAATCAGATCTGACAGGCACAGGAGGAGACTGTCCCTCCTTCCCCGGCAGAGCATCTGGTGGATTTGAACCGTGCACCTCCAGGACTGCAGTTGCAGCTCCCTGCCACTAGGCCACCAGAGCTCCCCATCTGAATCAACTATTTAATCCAACAAAGCACTCATTTGAATGCATCACAGCCCAGGCTAAAAGTGTCTCCCTAAATCTACCATGCCTATTTGGCCTGTTTGCTATCTCCTGCAATCACATTCCACTTTCACTTTTGTGCCTTTGTTCATACAATTCTGCTCAATAAGAACAAGGATCAAAGAAAAAAAGATTAAGCTCTAGAGCCAGATTGTCTTTAACTGCCCCACTTCTCCAATTTTAGCTATTTGATAATGAGAAAGCAATTTTCCTTAACTTCCTCAACTATAAAATTCCACTGTGCAAGCCTCCAAATTGATTCAATTCTGACTCATTGTACCATCTATCGGGTTTCTGAGGATGTAAATCTTTACAGGAGATTGCCCATCTTTCTCTCAAGGAGTGGCTGAAGGAACTGAACTGCTGAACTTTTGGTTAGTAGTCCTATATCTTACACACCAAGCCACCAGGACTCTTGCATCTATAAAAAGGGATTAACTATACAAATTTCACAGGTTTATTCTCAGGATTAAATAAATTCGCATCAGGTACATAAATGCTATTTAAGTATTAACTCTTATTGATAGTTTTAATGTTATCTTTGTAGGTGCACATAGCTCAGGAAAACCTCTATTCTAAAATCTTCCTTGATTTAAATTCACAATGTTTTTGTTATGTATTATCAAGTCAAGCCACTCATAGTGAACCCATGTACAACAGCTCTGAATCCTGCTCTATCCTGATCCAATCTCATCATCTTTGATACACCCATTCCCATTACCCCAGTCACTAAGGTAATTCATCTCATCAAGGGTCTTTCTCTCCTGTGCTGTTCCTCAGCCTCCCAAGCATGATGTCCCTCTCCAAGGACTGATCCCTTCTTGCAACATGTCCAAAGTATGTCTGACAGAGCTTCAGAATCCTTGCCTCCAAAGGAGCAGCCTGGTTTCACCCTCTCTAGGACAAACCTGTATGTTCTCCTAGCAGGCCATGGTATATTCAATACTCTTCTCTAGCACCACAACTCAAAGGCATCAATTCTCCTTCTATCCTCCCTAGTCATTGTCTAGTTTTCTAGACAGTAACTGCGAAGACCATGGCCTGGATCAGTCACACCTTAGTCTCCAGACTGACATTGTTGCTCTTCAGGACTGTCCATGACAGCAGATTTTCCCAATGCTATTTGTCTTTTGATTTCTTTATTGCTGTTACCACAGGTGTTGATTGTGGATACAAATGAAATAACTAACAAATTCAATTTTTTCTTTATCTATCACAATATTCCCCATTGGTCCAGTGATGAGTATTTTTGTTTTCTTGATGTTGAGATGTAATCCATATTGATGGCTATTGTCACCCATCTTCAGCAGCAGTGTTTCAAGTCCTCTACACTTGCAACAAACAAAGTGTGTTATCCACATAATGAAGGTTGTTGATGAGTTCTCCTCCAGTCCTGATGAGTATTTTTGTCTTCTTGATGTTGAGATGTAATCCATATTGATGGCTATTGTCACCCATCTTCAGCAGCAGTGTTTCAAGTCCTCTACACTTGCAGCAAACAAAGTGTGTTATCCACATAATGAAGGTTGCTGATGAGTTCTCCTCCAGTCCTGATGCCACATTCTTTGTTATATAGTCCAAATTCTCAAATTATTTGCTCAGCATATAGACTGAATAGGTATGGAGAAAAGATACAACCCTGATGCATAACTATCTTGACTTTGAACCACACAATGTTCCCTTATTATGTATGGGTAATATTTTCCTGGTCTAGATTTTGTATGAGCACAATTAAGTAATCTAGGATTCCCGTTCTTCCCAAATGTTAGCCATAATTTGTGAAGTGCAGGCTGGGTTTAGAAGAGACTGTGGTACTAGGGATATTATAACTAATGTCATAAGGATCTTGGCTGAAAGCTGGATGTACCAGAGGATTGTCTGTGTTTTTCATTGACTGTGCAAAGGCATTTGACTGTGTAGATCACAACAAACTGTGGCTGACTTTGAGAAGGATGGGAATCCCAGAACACTTGATTGTGCTAATGTGAAACCTATACTTGGACCAAGAGGCAGTCATCAGAACAGAGCAAGGAAACACTGCATGGTTCAAAATTGGGAAGGGCGTACACCAGGGATGTGTCCTGTCTCCATACCTTTTCAACCTGTATGCAGAACAGATTATCCAGGAGGCTGGGATCTATGAGGAGAAATGTGGGGTCACGATTGAGCTGCGTTATGCAGATGACACAACCCTGCTTGCTGAAACTGAGGAGGACCTGAAGCGCTTGCTGCAGAGGGTCAAGGACTGTAGCCTTCAATATGGATTGAGGCTCAATGTCAAGAAGACAAAGATTCTCACCACTGGACCAATTGGCAGCATCAGGATGGATTGTGAAGAGATTGAGATTGTTCACAGCTTTAGTTTGCTTGGCTCCACAGTCAACAGTCTTGGCACCAGTAGCCAGGAAATTAAAAGACATATTGCAATGGGAAAGTCTGCTATTAGGGACCTCTCCAAAGTACTGAAGAGCAGTGGTGTCTCTCTGGAGACTAAGGTGCATCTGATACAGACCTTGGTCTTTGCTATCACTTGTTATGCATCAGAGAGTTAGACAAAGACTAAGGAGGATAGAAGGAAAATTGATACCTTTGAGCTGTGGTGCTGGAGAAGAGTATTCAGGGTACCATGGTCTGCTAGGAAAACAGACTCATCCTGGAAAGGGTTAAACAGGGCTGCTCCCTGGAGGTAAGGATTGTGAGGCTCCGTCTAACATACTTTGGACATGTTGTAAGGAGGGATTGGTCCTTGGAGAAGGACATCACACTTGGGAGGTTGGAGGGACAGTGCAGGAGGGAAGGCCCTCTATGAGGGGGATTGATTCAGAGACTGGGGCAATAGGGATGGGAGTGTTGGAGATAGTACGATTGGCACAAGACAGAGCAGAGTTTAGGGCTGTTGTACATAGGGTTTTTATGAGTCACAAGCGACTCAACGGCACATAACAACAACAACAACAGAGCCTCTCTTTGAAAAGCTTCACTCCTTCCTAGCAGTCTCAAAGATGAAGCTTTCCAACTGAGAGATCCTGACCAACATGATGGGCTAGTACAAAGAGTACAGAATATATACAGTTATATTTTGGATATTAAAATAGCTTTGGCTGTGAATTCTACCTATTACTTCTGTAAGCCCCACATTAAGAGTTGTTGTTGTTGTTGTTGTGTACTGTAAAGTTGGAACAGACCCATAGCTGACCCTCTAGTGGGTTTTTAGAAGCAGCTAATAGCATGGGAGAAGACTACCCATCCTTCTTTGGAGGAGCAACTGGTAGATTCAAACAGCATGCCTTCGGGATTGCAGTGTAGTAGGCCACCAGAACTCCCTTCTGAGAGTTGGTGTATTATAGTATTACTAAACTGCTAGTTAGCTCACTCCCAGAGCTACCGACTTGATGCTCTAGCTCACTCCCAGAGCTACAGACTTGATGCTCTAATATTTCTAGTTTATCATGAAAGAAAAGTGAATGAGGGAACTAATCATTAAAATGAATCATTAGTAAACTGGTGGCCTAGTGGCAAGAAGCTGCACTGCAATCCCAAGGGGATGTGGTTTGAGGCAGCAGCTGATCTGCAGGAGAAGGATGAGGAATCTCCTTCTGTGCAATTAACTGCCTCTGAACACCCACTGAAGAGTCAGCTATGGGTCGGTTCTGACTTTGCGGTACACAACAACAACAACAACAAACTAATGATTACTATCCTTTTAATACAATTTACTACTACTTGATGAAACACTATTCTATAATGTTACTTTCCTTCAAATAAAATTTATTTCTATTTTTTATGCATCATCTCAGCCTCATAAAAATTACCAGAGTTGCAGGGAGATGAGTGCAATTTTTCACACAGAGAGCAAAAGGAATTAAATTTATATGAATGCTGAAGAACAGATGCAAAACAAAGAATTAAATTAGTAACATCTACTTCATCTCCTCCCAGGAACAATATACTTACCCCTCATTACAAATATATTTAATTTGTGTGCCCAAGAGAAGGTTTCCATTTAAGAACTCTATACGGCCATTTAAGAGATCTTCTGGAATGGGACATGATTTTTCTGAAAGAAAATAATTTTAAAATTTGTTTTTTTATACAAGCTTCAAAACATATTTGAAGCAAAGATCCAAAGTCCACATTGCTCTTCTGAATGAAAAGGAGTATAATTTCCTTGATTTAACTAGTAGAAGGACAAATACAATGCCGGGGAAAAAAGATTCCCTGGAGATTTCTCACAGCCTAGGGGGAAAAGGTAAAATACTGTTTTATAAAACCTAGATTCTAGGTAAGAGCAGAGTAAACAAAACTATATCCACTGGTGTGTAGTTGATTTTGACCCACACGGACCATCATTAGATTTTTAAGGCTGTGAGTCTTCAAGGGAGGAGATTACCTTATCTTTTCTCAGAGGAGCTGAAGGATTTGAACCATCAGCTTTTCAGTTAACAGCCCGACGACCTGTTACCCACTATGCCACCAGGGCTACTTAACAGTAGACTATGAACCCTAAAGTGTGAGAAAAATCTCTACAGTAAGAGAAATGAAAGGACAAGGAAATAAAACATATTGTTTACTTACTTCTACAACCATCTGCGACAACTGGCCAGGTGTTATTTTCCTGACAAACAATAGTCATGTTAGCAAGAGGCACCCTTCTTTTGTATCCTATGCGACATTCATATTGAGCTGTGTCTCCAGGAGAATAACTCTCACGGCTATCCTTGACCACCATACCAGGAAACTGTGGGGGCTGATCACAGGCATCTAGGAAATAGGGAATGAGAACGTAAAGTACTGATATGAGTCACACACGCCACAGACTGTGGTTTGACAACAGGGAGTACAGAATAAATGGGAAGGCCCTTGTCAAGACAGTAAAGACTGTTCAGTCCTTGCTTTTATTAAAAGAGCACAGGGCTGACAGCTGGTAGTTAACGGTAAATGTTCCTCACTTCCTTTAAATAACATTACATTGAAGTCCCATTCAACAATAAACATGAGAGACATAGCAACATTATTCCTTATTTTAAAACTATATAAAGAAAGGCATTTTTCACCTTTGTCTTATGGTTTTATGAGAAACAGAACCAATGAGAGAAACAGACATATGGATATTTATTTTCAAGAAATGGCTCACGAGATTGTGAGAACAGTGACTCCAAGGACCATAGCTCAAATGAAAGGCTGGAAACTGGGATAGTCTATCTATTTTACAGTTTGAGGCTGAATTTTCTCCCGTGAAAGCCCTCAGTTTTTTGCTCTTAAGGCCTTCAAATGATTGAATGAGACTCAGCTACATTATTAGGCGTAATCTACTCTAACACAAACATACATTCATTCACACACATACCAGAATGGACTCATAACTGATCCTCCAGCAGGATTTTTTGAGGCTGTTAATTACACACCCACCTATCTCCTGCAGTTTTACCTAAAGTCAACTATAAATACCTTCACAGCAATCACAGCACATTCTTACTAATGTTTGACTAAATAACTAGATATCATTTCTGAGCTGAATTTTAAACTATGTAGTATTTATTCCCTTTCCAGAGTACTGAAAAGCAATGATGTCAGTCTAGAGACTAAGGTGCACCTGATCCAGGCCATGGTCTTCACAATTACTTGCTATGCATCAGAGAGCTGGAAAATGACTAAGGATGACAGAAGAAGAAGAATCGATGCCTTTAAGTTGTGGTGCTGGAGATAAGTCTTGAACATACACCATAAACTGCCAAGAAAACAAATAGGTCTGTCTTGGAGAGGGTGAAACCAAGTTTCTCCTTGGAGGCTAGGACTTTAAAGCTTTATCTTACATACTTTGGGCATGTGGTCAGGAGGGACCAATCCCTGGAGAAGGACATCTTGCTCAGAAGACTAGAGGGACAGCACAGGAGAGTAAGATCCTGGATGAGATGAATTGATATAGTAACTAGGGCAATGGGGGTTAGGTGTCGGAATTAGTGAGACTGGCTCAGGACAGGGCAGGCTTCAGAACTGATGTACATAGGGTTGCTATGAGTCACAGGAGACTCAATGGCACGTAACAACAAAAACAAGTGCCCCCTTGTTTTATATGGACAAAAGCTTCTTGGTCTATGTATAAGTTTTGCACAAGCACAATTAAATATTCTGGAATTCCCATTCTTTCCAATGTCATATTTGATGAAGAATGTGGCATCAAGATTGGAGGATAAATCATCAGCAACCCATGTGATGCAGATGATGCAATCTTACTTGCTGTAAGTGAAGATGACTTGAAACACTACAGAAGAACAAAGACAATAGCCTTCAATATGGAGTGTATCTCAACATCAAGAAAACAAAAATCCTTACCACTGGACCAATGGGGAACCATGTGTCAACTATTTCATTTTACTTGAATCCACAATCAACACGCAAGGTAACAACAGTCAAGAACTCCAGAGACATAGTGCAATTATTCATATATATTTTGTTTTATATAATTAATCATATTGCTCTGAGACCACTAACACTCTCTTCATGTTCCCACTGCACCTTTCCTATTTCTTTGCCCCTCTGTCCACTAACCTCTGCTATCCTAGTGCTTCCCCCCATTTTCTACCTCCCTTCTCTCCTCCTCCCCTTTTGAACCTATATAGATAGATACGTAAGATATATCTATATACAAGATATCTATATCTCTCTATCTCTATATAGATATAGATTAGATATAGAGATATATAGATATCAATATCTCTATCTATATCTATATAGATAGAGATATCTCTATAGCTATATATCTACATATCTATATATGGATATAGATGGATAGATATAGATAGATAGAGATAGAGATAGATAGATATAGATACCTTGCTCAGTTATTCTCAGATTTTCGTAATGTACCTGAATGAAACACAACGTATATGAACAACTATATGCAAACCAAGGGGAAAAAAACTAAGGAAAGGTTAACATACAGACTTATTCTTAGATGGTTATCAGGGAATGGTAAGGGAGGGAGGAGGTATGAAAATTAACTGGGTAAAGGGAAAGGAAATATACAATATATACAATAAGAGGTTAGTCAGTGTAGTTACTTTAATAAACTTTTAGTCAAATTAAAAAGAATTTTTAAAGTTTAAAAAAATTTTAAAAAGACTTATTTCATTGGAAAAATCTGCTGTCAAGGACTTCTCCATGGTGCTAAAGAGCAATGATGTCAATTCAAAGACTAAGGTGCCTTTGAGCCAAGCCATAATCTTTTCAATTACTTCCTGTACACATCAAAGTTGGGCAATGAATAAAGATGACAGAAGAATAAATGCCTTTGAGTTGTGGCATTGGAGAATAGTACTGAACATCCCCATGGACTGTCAAGCGAATAAACAAGTCTGTCATGGAGCAGGTGCAAACAGAGAGCTCCTCAGAGGCAAGGATAGTGCAACTTGGGTTTCACATACTTTGGGCATGTTTTTAGGAGGGGCTGGGCCTTGCAAAAGGATATCATGTGAGTAAAAGTAGATGGTCAGAGGAGAGGAAGACCTTCAACAAGATGAATTAACACAGTGACAGTAACAATGGACTGGAGCAAATCAGAGATGGGGAGGATGGCATAGGATCAGGCAAGGTTCAGATCTGTTATTTACAGGGTCACTGAGAGTCACGGTTGACTCAATGGCATCTAACAACAACATCTCCAAGCTTAACTGACATATAAAGCAAATCATCACAGCTTAGTGAATCACCACTTCAGTCAATTTGTCACTCAGATATGTATGTCCTTGAACAATACTCTATCTAAAAAAAAAAAAAGACAAGACAAAATCGTAATTTTGCTTAAAACAACTATCCTGTGTACAACCAAAACACACTCACTAACCCTCTCTCTGCCTCTCCCACCTCCCAGCATGCTGTCTTTTTCCAAGGACTGCTCCCTCCTGTCACTATGGCTCCATGTATGTCAAACATTTCAATCTCCTTGCTTCTAAGGAGCCCCTGACTGCACTGCCTCTAAGACAGACTTGTTTGCACATTTGGTAGTGCATGGGCTATACAGCCCTCTTCTCCAGTGCCACAATTCAAAGGTAGGCGGCTCTTCTTCTAGCAGAGCATCATGCTGGGACAGGCAGGTCGTAAAAGAGAAAGAGAGGAAGACCTTCCACAAAATGGACTGACAGTGACTGTGGAACAGTGGGCTTGAGCATCCAGAGATGGTGAGGCTGGGGCAGACACAGCAAATTAAAACCTGTTGTTCAGCATTCTGGGACTATGCACTGAAAAGATTTTGGCATTTCCTGCCATTCTTTTGCATTTATGCATTTGTATTTTAGTTTTAACAAAGACAGGTTTGTAAACACAATGTATATAAATTTTCTATGCAAACCAATATAAAATTAATTTAGATTTAAAAAGGAAAAAAATATGTTCTGTACATCTTGTTCCCTGCTTTTTTTTTTTTTTATATATTTATGGCTTTGAATTGTCAATCTTAGTTTGTATTTTCATTCCTGAGTTATTTAATGCCTTACAGATGCTTACTTTAGCAGATTTTTTCTACATTATCTACTAAATTTGAGGAGATTTATATTTGTTTATTTTGTTATTAAGTTGTGCATTTTGTTGTTGTTTATCTCATCAAGTAAATTGTTATTCTTAAGTAAAAAAAAACCACAAAAACCTGTTGTTCACAGGGTTGCTATGAGTAACAATCAACTCAGTGGCACCTAACACCACGCACACACACGCGCGCACACACACACATGCACACGCATCCTTTTTTTCCTTAATGATTTTTAATGCAACATATATATTTTTTACAGCATATTCTTTCCATTTAATTTTTCCCCTGGTAGTTATAAATTCTTTTATGGATTCACTCATTGTCATCCAGTTAGAAGTCACTCTTATTTGTCCCTACAGCAGGCTTTCAGAGGCTGTAAACGGCACACGGGAGGATGCTGCCAGTCTTTCTCTCAAAGAACAGGTAGTGGATTTGAACTGACTGCTTGCCTTTAGGCTCAGCTCAGTATCTTACCCATTTAGGACATCAAAGTTCTCCTACAGCAGGCTACATATGATAAACTCAAAAGCCTTGCTGTCAAACCAGAACCAAAATACTGGTTCCTTGGTTCCTTGGTTCCTTCGTTCGTTCCTTCGTTCGTTCCTTCGTTCCTTCCTTCCTTCCTTCCTTCCTTCCTCCCTCCCTCCCTCCCTCCCTTCCTTCTTTTTTTGCCTAATCCCCAAGGCGATTTATTGGGCAGACAGGGGTGGGTGGGGAAGAGGGGCTGTTTCTAGAAGGTCGCTTGGTGGTGAACCTTGGCTTGTGCTGGCGACGTGAAACCCTGTGAGGCAGTGGGAACTTGATCGTGGAGTCATGGAACTGCTTGACTGTGGGCAGGAGGCACTTGCTGGCAGTGATCTCCTCCACCTTCATGATCTGGATGGAGTGGGACCAGGCATGATGTCGTTCTGGACCTGGCACTCCCGGTACATGCCATAGTTCTTCACACGCAAGGGGGACTTCTCGAACACCTGTCAACAGTACACAATCTCCCCAGAAGACGTCTTCGTCTTTGTCAACTGTGACACAAAGGACCAGAAGCATGGCTGAGGCCGAAGATGCGCATGTGGTAAAGCAGTGGTGTTCGACACTTGGGGGTGGGCAGGCAGCGCCCCACCATCTGTACTCCCAAAGTGTTCCTGAGGCCGAGGCCTTCATAGTGATCTCTCAATGCTCTCTGCGACCCTCAAACGACAACACTGGTTTCTGTGAGGCAGTAAACTGTATGGGAATTAACTGCTCATCTTTCCTCAGGGCAGCTGCTGATGGATCCGAACTGTTAGAAAGGGGTGGTCTCCGGGTTAGCAGCAGTTTCATACAGACTAAGGCGTCAGCATACCCTTCAATATACGATAAAGCTGTTTCTATCCTTCTCCTTGACTCTTACTTCACTGTTTCTGTTACTGCTCTTCGGGGAAGGGCTAAAGTCTCTGCAAGCTTTGATATGATATCAAATAACAGGTCACCTGGCTTCTAGCTACACCTCCACAGATCTCCGTTTCCAGGTTCTTAAGGAAGTGATTCTTATCTGTGAGCATCTTTATAAAATCAGAGAAGTTCTCTTTCCCATCTCCTTCCATTTGCAAAGCATTTAACTTCTTTGCTTTGTGATGTGTTTGGTTTTGGAGAAATCCTGGAGACTCTTTATCCTGAGACAAATTATCAAAGGCTCCCAGCATCACTGAACACCTACCTATACAGTGAGAAAATGCTGGCTACCTAGTCAGCCTCATCTTTGTAGGTCATCCTTACCCTCTTTTTTAAAAAACAAACAAACCAACCAAGTAATCTGTTTTTTTCTAATTTTACAAAAGAGGTTCAGAGTTCACTAAAATTAATAAAATTTTTAAAAATGAAATGTAATCACTTAAGTTCTTTTTTTAATTTAGCCTATTCTTTCAAAATTGCAAAAATATTTATAAACTCTGTGCTAATGAAATATGCCCTTTCATTTCCCTCCCCTCCAATATTACTTGAGATTTCACAATAGTTCCTGGAAGGATGGATCTTGCTTTATCTCAAAGGAATTTTTCTGACATTAAAAAACTAAAGTTTGTTTTTGTTGGGTGTTTTTTTTTGGGTTGTTTTTTTTTAAAGAGGTTCAGAGGGATTAAATAATCTGTGGAAGACCAAGGATTCAAACCAAAGTTTGTCTGACTCCAAAAGTTGAGTCTACAAATCTTTTATAACTCCCGTTGTTAGAAATATAAGTTAATCCCAATTTATAAATAGTATAAAGTGTGGTGACTGCCCTTAAAGAAAATATTTGCTTAATATCTGTAAATACATATTGCTGAAATATATTTCTACCAGCATAAGAGAGAGGAAGTAGGGAAGACAAGCCAGGGAGGATGGAGAAAAGGAGGGAAGAAGAGAGAGAGAGAGAAGAAACAGAGGAGGAGGAGGAGAGGGAGAGAGACGGGAAGGAAGAAGGAAGAGAGGGAGAGAGACAGGAAGAGGAGGAGGAAGAGAGCCACACCCCCTTTTTTAAAAAAATCTTGATAATTTCAGTCCTCATTTCTGCAACTGCTCACAGACATGGTGATATTATATTATTATGTGCTGTCTAGTCAACTCTAAAAGAGCTCCTGTAGCCTACTGGCAAAAAGCTGCACTGTAATCCCGAAGATAAATGGTTCAAATAACTCACCTGCTGCTCCATGGGAGAAGGATGGACACTCTCCTCCTATGTGATTAACTGCCTCTGAAAACCTGCTGGAGGACCAGCTATGAGTTCTGACTCCATGGTATGCAACAACAATAACAACAGTCAACTCTAATTCCTAACTACAGGACAAGATAGAATAGCCCCACCCAGCAGAGTTTCTGAGGCTGAAATCTTTCCAGAAGCAGATGCCACACCTTTCTCTTCATGGAGTACTTCATGTGTTCCAACTGCTGCCATTTCAACTGGCAGCTGAGCACTCAATCTCTTTGCCACCGGGGCTCCTAGTGTTGCTCTTACTGTTCTGTGCTGTAGAGTCAGAATGGACCTGTAGCTGACTCCCTAGTGGACCTGCAGAGGCAGTAAACTGCATGGGTGGGTATCGCCCTTCTTTATCCCAAGGAGCAGCTGGTGGATTGGAAGCACATGCCTTTGGGTTTGGAGCGCAGCTCTTTACCACTGGGTCATCAGAGCTCCCAACTACAGGCTTTCCTTACGTCCTCAGTAAGTACCTCAGTTGGGTAGGATTCTTTGCTCAAGTGACCCAAAACTTCATTCCTGAAGGGTCTGGATTGAGTGGTTGTCATTCACCATGCAATTCCTGCACCAGCCAAAGACATAAGTGGAATGAGGATATGGGGAAAATAGGCAAATTTAATGGGAATGTGAGAGAAATCATGAATTCTGCATCCTTCCAGTCTTTAATGGTAGCACTAAATCCTGCAATCCCTGCAGGAATATGGTATTGTTTGTAGTTTGCTACATCTATTCATCACTTATCACCATGATTTGGTTCCAAAGATCAACTCATCATGCAAAAAAAAAACCAAAAAACCAACAACAACAAAACCCAAACAAAAAAATAACCAATGTAATGAACAAAGTGGCCTAGTAGCAAGAAGGTGCGCTGCAATACTGAAGGTAACACAGTTCAAATCCACCAGCTGCACCACAGGAGAAGGATGGGCAATCTCTACCCATTCGATTAACTGCCTCTAAAAACCCACCAGAGGGTCAGCTATGGGTCGGTTTTGATTCGATGGTATACAACAACAACAACATACAAAACTGTATAACTAACTGCCTTACCTGCTGCTTCTGCACCCTCTGTACAGATGGACTCAACTGTACCTGCTCAGGCAGAGATGGATACTGTAGACCACAGCTTACAGCTGGGAGGAACTTCCTATTCCTTATAGTTCAAAGTGTTCTTCTGCTCCCCTGACTTTAAAATCCTGGGCTCCCCTCCATGCTGGAGTTACCTCCTCCTCCACTTGCACCTCCTAGTCTCATGCTCCTCAGGGGTTCCCTACACATTTCTGGGATACGTTCCCCTGTATGAACATTTCCTGAATAGCTCCAAATACTAGTCCTTCCTACACTCTAACTAGCCAATTCAGAGCTGCTTCCATAACTAGTACTCCTTCCAGAAGGCCTGTTAAGCATCTTTTAGCCTGTCCCGTGCAGTGCACAATCACTGGGGGCACTGGGACCTTTCGGATCGTGCTGCCCTTAGTGCCCACTCATACTGCCATGCCTCCAGGCATGGTTCCTGGAGAAGGGAGCTCAACCACCCCTCCTGCCTCCTGTCCTCCAGGTTTTGACAATGGCACAGTAAACTGTAGATTATATATATATATACACACACACACACACACACATTCTCTCTCTCTCTCTTTTCACAAATGTGAAATGTTGGATAGGTATACTTTCCTAGGGAGACGTAGTTCTAGTGGGTCACACTTGGCCTTTCCTGAAATACAGTCCTTGCTCCACAGGTTAGAGAACCAATCTCGGAATGTTGCCAATGGCTATGTATAATCTAAAATTGGGAAAAACAAGGAATTTTAAAATAGGAAATGTATGTTTGTGTCCTGGTTGGTTTCTTCATTCATACCTATTTAATCTGTAGGGTGAGCAAATTATTTGAGAAGCTGGACTCTATGAAGAAGAATGTGGCATCAGGATTGAAAAAAGACTCATCAATAACCTTTGTTATATGGATGACACAGATATACTTGGTTAAAGCTAGAAGGACTTGAAGCACTTGCTGCGGAAAGTTAAACACCACAATTTTCCAGATGGGTTGCATCTCAAAGTTAAGAAAGCAAAAATCCTCACCATTGGACTGACAGACAACATCATGATACATGGAGAAAAGGTTTCTACTGTCAGTGGCTTCATCTTACTTGGATCCACAATCAACACCTTTGGGACCAGCAGTCAGGAGGTCAGGAATATATTGCACTGGAAAAGTCAGGGACCTCTCCAAATTACTGAGGAGCAATGATGTCAGTTTGAGGACTAAGATGCACTTGATTCAGGCCATGGTCTTTTCAGTCACTTGCTATGCATCTGAGAGATGGACAATGAATAAAGGATGACAGAAGAAGGACTGATGCCTTTGAGCTGTGTTCTTGGAGAAAAGAATGGAATATTCCATAGATGGCTAAAAGAACAAACTGATATGTCTTAGCCACAGAGCTCTTGGGAGGCAAAGATAATGAAGCTTTTTATCACATACTTTGGGCTAGGAGGATCTATTCCTTGGAAAGGGACACTTAGAAAGGTGGAAGGGCAGCAAAGGAGAGGAAGACCCTCAACCAGGTAGATTGACACAGTGACTGTAGCAATGGGCTTGAGTGTGTCAGAGACTGTAAGAATGGCACAAGGTTCAGATCTGTTGTTGACAGGGTCGCTATGAGTTGAACTTGACTGACAGCACGTAACAACAACATCTCGTCCATAGCCTACTGCACTGCTAGACAGAAGTCTGTGGCCTCTGGCAGTTCGAATCCACCAGCGGGGCTGGGAAAGAAAGATGACAGTCTCCTCTTATTAAGGTGTGCAGCATTGGAAACCGGGGAATCAGCATTGATTCAATGGTAGTGAGTTTTCAGTTTGATGTCTATTCCGATTACACATTTCAAAAGAGGGGAAATAACAACAGGTAGGATTGGGGACCCAATGTGAGATGAACTTGAGCTAAAATTCCACTGTTCACCTGACTATCAACAAGCCCTATCCTGACTGGTAGGCCACGGTAATGCGTTAGTGCATCTGTAATTATTACCAGTGTATAGTTGGTATCCAGTAATCTCTAAAGAGTCTAATCATTTCCTTTCTCCCAAAAGTGCAGTCACTCTGACCAAAGACTGGAGGTGAGAACCTTCCTGCAGGGGTCTCTTCACCCACTCATTCAAGGAGTTGTGCATCTATAAACTGGCTCAAACCCAAGAACTGGGGAGCAGTAAAACTCTATTTAGGAGGAAAGTCGAGTGGCACTGTCCACAGTGATTTGCACTG